GAGAAGGAGGAGAGAGAGAGAGAGAGAGAGAGGGAGAGAAAGGGGATGGTGGAGGAGAGAGATTCCTCGGGATCGGCCAAGAAAGTTTTCTCTTTTCGCGCGACGCTTACGGCTCCCTCCTCATCCTCCTCTTCTTTCGACGAATCGTTCCCTCCTCCTTGCGAGACTTTCTCGCAAGACGAACGGTCCACGCTGAGAAACCGACGTTTCTCGTGAAAAGATCGTCCTCTCCATCGTCGTCCCTCCTCCCTCTCGCTCGATACCTCCTCCTCCTCCACCGCTATATACCGGTAATGGGATAGTGATCGAAAGTTATATAGATAATTTATCGACGATTCGATTTCTTCCTTTCCAGGATTATATTCTGATCCCGATGGTTTGCTCGAAAATCATCGAGAGTACTTCGTATCGATTGTTTGGTAATGGAAATTGTTTTTGAAAAAGTTTCCTCCCGGGAATTTTATCGAAAGTTTATCGAACTTCGCTTCACGCTTCGTATATCAAACACGCGAATCGTTTGTTTCGTTGTTAGATCATCTTTCTTATCATATTTCCGAATTATTCGTCAAGGAAGAAATATCATGGTAAGCTAGAGATTTTTTTTTTTTTTTTCCGATTTTTGAACATCTGCGAAAAAAAACGAACGAAATAGTGTCACAGAGATTCGAACAAAAATTCTCTCTCTAACAAAAGATAAACTTGTGAATGCACAGTTGATCTACCTAGTCGGACGAAAATTCGCGCGACTAAAAAAAAAAAAAAAAGGAGGAGGGAGCGTAGCATTGACAATTAATCGCGTAGAAAATTCGATAGAGTGCGACAAACATGTAACCTGGGAAACGGGGGAAAAAAGCCGTGAAACAATGGAAATCGAGTGCACGATGTGTGCATCCCTGAAAACTAACGCGTGTATACGTTCTATCGTTCGATAGAAATCGGTGGAGGATGTCGGGCAAGTGATAAATTTGTTTGACTAGCCGAATGAGGTTCACCGGGGTACGTTGTACAAAAGCCACGTTGAAATACGTGTAAATACCCAGGAAGGAAGACAGAAAGTTTCGGGGCTTAAGACTCCTCCGACTCGTGGAGTTTTAAGTTTTAATACCGAACAAATACAGGTATACACCTGATATCGGTGGCGCCTCGAGGAATCGAGGGTTTTTCGCAAGGGCCAACTTAGCGTCGAAACTTCTTACGCGGATACTGTTTCCTTCCAAACACCTGCTGCATTATTGTTACTCTTCTCGTTCGACGAGTTTTTCTCTTTCTCGACAATAGATGGCGGAACGCAAAAGTGGCTTACAACATTTTTGTGATAAAAAAGAAAATGGTGTGATTCCAACGAGTTTTGATGGAGGTTTGAAATTGAGGTAGTTTTAGTGTTGCAATGAAAAGAATATGATCTGAGACAGGCTTGGAAATAAATTTAAACTTGGTAAAAGGTTCACGTCCACTTATCGAAAAAAAGAGAGAGAAAGAGAGATGTTATACGGGAGAATTATGCTAATATTAAGATCATAATTAGATCAATGGAGATTTAAATATAATAAGAAGATTGAATAAAATATTGTAACAGCGTTTCATTTTAAATTAACGCTTTATAAATATTTTTATATTGTCTATTCAAACATTATTTTATTTCAACAAAGATCGATTACGGTCGGAACGGAAACTTTAATGAGGCACAAAACGTAAACTTATCGTCGAAATCTTTCTCGCTGGGGAAGGAGAGAAATCAAACACGTTGAAAAGCGTTTAAAAAATGTAAAACACTTTTGATAAAAGTTCTTAAGGATCTGCTGCCATCCCTCCCTTATCCCGCGGTCCGCCGAAATAAATTTCGTTGTACTACACAAATATTTCACGTGGCGCCCCACCATTTAAAGTTAGTTCGAGAAACTGCTTAGCATCTACTTATTCACTAGATTTTTCAACATGAACATCGGAGCTACGAGTTATCCAGCCGGTCCGCGCTTCCAGACAGACGTATAGATCGCGGCCCATAAATAACGAGGAAGGGAAAGGCCCTCGTCTTTAATACGATCCCCGTTTCCCAAACTCATAACCGTTGATCTTCCGCTGGAAATTCACGAGGAAACGCGACAAAGTAAGCATTCGGTTTTCCTCGATCGAGGCAATCTACGATTTTGTTATTTTTTTTTTCCTTCTTTTTCTTCTTCTTCTTTTTTTTTGTTTGTTTGTTTTTAATCGTTAAAGTTCGTTTTATAAAAATATGGCACTGGATTACACGTTTGTCGAATCACTGATCCGAACCATTTCGATAATAATTGCGTAAAGTGAAACTCCAATCACACACACACAAAAAAAAAGAGCTTGTTTTTCGCGCACCAAAGTTGTCGTTGACGATTGAACGTGTAATTAAAAGTTTCCGATTAGTTTAGAAATGAGAAGTGAATTTTTTCTTTTTTTCTTTTTGGAATACTAATACTTTGCTTGGCGATCATTTGACGAATTGTGTATTGCATTATACAAGTAAAAATCTTAGGAAATTTAATTGATATTAAATTCTGATTTTAATTAACAAAGTTTTAAAAGTTTGTGTTTAAAATTTTAAAATATATTTAAAATAATTCTTTTTTATCGAGGAAAAATCTATTTAAAGTTTCTCGATATTTTCTCAGTGTTTTGAATCAATTTCGACTAAGAATATCTTTCATAACAAATGAAGCATTAAAACTTGAACGTTTTTAAAGTTTCATTATAAAGTTATATTTAGAGGAATGAAAATGGAACTTTAAATATTGATTATTCTCTCAAACTAATATTCTTTAATCAAAAATTACCTAGTACAATATAATATTGTATAAATCGTTAAAGCACAAGTATAAAATATATGAAAATATTTTACCTATATATTCACCAACGTGATTTTCGTGATTTCAAAAGATTTATCGACACACAACCGCTCGATAGAATTGGGGCAAAAATGAACATCGTCTAAAAAAACCGAATAATAATACGACTCGAAGAAGTGAAAAAGAAAATCGAAAATAATAATAACCCCATGAAAATTATATTCCAGAGTTCACCGTGCACGATGCACACGATGTAACATTCAACAAACCGGTAGACAATGTTCCAAACTATACAACATACATTTTGACAAGTTCCAGTTTCGCTTCGCAAGCAGCCGGAAATTGAACGTACGTACACATGCTCCTCAGGAATCTCGTTTAATGAAATGTCAATATCCATGACCGAGGCTTTGGTCTTGTAGACCGGCTGTGTTTCCTGTATCCACGGCGGCGAGCCAGATTCCGCGATGGTAGTTTTACCGCGCTTTCAAGACAAACCCTGAGACGACGAAACGGATTTACACGGTAAAGCAGACACGGTTCACGCCACCCTCAAGTGGTGGACATGATACTTTACGAATCTTTACGGTTCCTCCTTTGGAATTAATTATTTCAAATTCTGAGTGTGCACAGTGTTAGTCGGATATTTTACGGATATATGTGGTAATTTTTGTCGGTGGCAAGCTCTTTTTTCAATAATTGATACGAAACGATCTTTTAGACAAACTTATCACGTAAAAAGAAAACAAGTCCAAATTTAAAAATCTACCACCATTGTATCTATATTGAATATGTATATACACGTTTGATGGAAGATCTTTGGAGGGATTCTAGAAGCCAAGGCAAGTAGAAAAGTTCATATATATATACAAAAATATCGATTGAAACTTGTTCATTAAGTTACAAGCAATTTAAGTTTATGTCAAATGAAGTTAGACAGGGATGGAATATCTTACTCTCCATCACACCACCATCTTGCCTCATCTAATCTAAACTTCAATTGCTCGTAATCTAACAGACAAGATCTCTACCGATATTTTTCTGTCAGATCAAACACTTTCGTTTTAATCTCCAAAATCGAAATCTTTTAAAGATATTCGGCATTTTGACATCCTCAGTAGTACAAATCGGAAGCAAAATCCAACCCACTCTGTCATCGTCACCACGGCTTCCATTTCCAGATCCATGGTAATTTCGTAATGAAATTGTAACAAAGAGAGGGGAGGGGAACGGTGTGGTGAGAGTAGATTAGAAAATCTTGATAGAACGGCGACGGTTGAAATAACTTTTCGATGAAGGTGAAGAGTCGGTTCGGATTACACACGGATCGAATCGAGAGTAACGGGGCTAATTTGCTTCTGTATCACTCGAGGTTTTGATCGTCTCGCAATTTTTATTATCGCCACGAACCCGCTCCTTCTTCGGTTCGAGGCGGGGGAGAACGAGCGACGGCGGAGAAAGAAATAACCCGCTAAATTTGTCTTCCTTTTCTTCATCCTCTTTGGAGGGAGAGACGTTTACGTCGATAATGATTGTGTTGCTTGGTTCCGCCGAGATTGGCGCGCGTTGACAAATAACGCCAATCGCTTCCCCCACCCCACCCTTTAGCCGAGGATTATCCGATGGCAATCGTGGACAATTTTCGCTTTATTTTTATCGGGGGATGCGCCTTAATTTGTCCTTCGTTTCTTTCTTCTCTTGGTAGGGGCGAAGAAAAGTGTGGAAATGAAGCACTTCGATAATCTGAGTCGCGTCGAGAATCTGATTCTGTGTATATAGTCAGCAATAAGGGTCGTTTATTATTTACGATTAAGATGTAGAATTAAAAATGTAGAGGGAATCTCGATTCTTCAAGAAAATTACACGAACGAAGCCATCGTGTAATAATTATGATAAGAGTACAATTACTCCAATTTAAAAATATTTCGACGAGTTTCAATTTTTGAAAAATTGTTTGTCCATCGTATTTCGTATTATAATATAATAATTTAAAATACTCGAGTTGGACGGAACGTCTGGTATAACGAATATGGAATGATTAATTTTATTTAAGAGAAGAAGAATTGCAATAAATCTGTTCGATAGCGGGCGCCAAGAATCTTGGAAATCTGCACGAACGCGACAGAGGGATACACGATAGAACAAAGTGGATGGAAAGGTAAAGACGACAGAGAAAAATGATCGTTTGGAGAGATATCGGTTCGAGCAAACTATAACTAACTGGTATATTATAAATATAGGGGATAGGGGTGAGAGAGTGGTCGACGGTTTTCGACGAGGTCAGCGGTGAAATGAATTAAACGGACCGTTTTCCGCATCAACGTTGCTTGTATATCGGAAATTTAATGGGTCACTGGTATCCACCACGACCTAATTGTACCGATCCGGACGATTAAGCGGTGGAAAAATGTGATTTCACGGTAATTGAAGGTAGGCGGACTTGGACCAAACCTGCTGCTCTGCTGCACACCTTATTTTTCAATTATCGCGCATTAATGATGCACTACGTTAATACTCGATCGAGCACGATGACGTTGTTTGGAATAAACGCGCCGCTACCGGTCCGTTCATAAATGTTCCCGATGAAAATCGAATAACACCTGCAAACTATAACGAACGATTAAATTCACCTCGCGTTTTCGAATTTTCGGATCGGAAATTAGAAACCAATATTTGATTTAAATTAACAAATGAACTTGTCATTTGTTTCTTAATCAACCAGGCATGTATCGATCGATATTAAAATCGATGGTACACATTCTTTTTATACAACCTTAAAATAATCGAAATTATAGAATTGAGCCATATTCGAATCTTCGGATCCAGAATAGTGCACCGGGGTCAAAGAACCGAATCGAATCGATTAATCGATTAAATATTTCATCCCATCATTCTACGAGCAACAAGATCCTTTTGGACTGTTCCAATCCTTTGACCTTTAAGCGTATAATTCCCCTCCACGACCTCGAGAAAACCGTTCGCCTCGAGTCGTCTTCACCTCGCTATATTCCGAATATATCCCCGTAACCCGAAGATATATTCTTACGATCGTAAAAAAAAAAAAAAAAAAACCAAAAGAAAAAGAAAAGGAGAGGAAAGATGTTGCGGAGGAGGGGTTGCAGGTGAGAAAGAAACGATCCGTCTCTCGACTCGCGACGCGGAGTGACTCGGTGCCCTTAAGGGTTCGAATCCTTCTCGTTCCTCTCTCCTCCTTGATTCCTACATCCGTTCAATTCTGCCGCTCATCCCCGGGGGCTGTGTAACACGTGCGTGGCACGGGGAAGACTGTCTGTAGGAGGGTGGAATCGGCGGGTTGCGAAGCGGGGAGGGAGCCGCGCAAGAGTAACTGCTAGTAACAATGTTTTCTCACCCTTTTGCGTTTTAGCGGCGGGTAGAGGGTGAGCCGCGCCACCCTCCTCGTTCTTCCCCCTTCGCGCTACGAAGCGAAGCTCGGTTATACACCCTCCGCAATCAATTTCGTCAATACCGCTTGTTGCGGAGGGGTGGCTGTGCTGTCTCGCCCGCGGCTGCCTTCAGCCCGCCCCGCGCCACTTCATCCCTTCCCTGCGTCGTCCTCCTGAAGGAGAAGGGTCTGTTGATAGACTTTTACCGCGCCACGACCATAAAGTCATCGAACTCTTTTGTTTCCTCTTTTCGACCCGATTCTCTTCCCGATTTCATTCGTCGATCGATATCGTCCTGCTTTAGGCGTGATTTAAATATTGAATATTTTTTTACGTGGCATATTCGTGAATATGGTGGCGAGTTTATAGGGGTGTTCTATCACGATGGTTCCCGTAAAATTTAGAATTCGTGGAGAAACCGAGGAGGACGAAGAAATATAGAAAAGCGTGTTGATAAGCGTGTTCGTGGCAGATAAGAATAGTTCATTTGTAGTGGAGGGGAATTTTCGTTAAATTCCTAGTTGGGGGAGGCGTAAAATATCGAGAAATTAATTTTCGGCTAGAATTTTCGAAAATTTCGACGATTAACGTGCGTGTGAAATAAGAGGCGAAGAGAAATGACGAGGTGACGAATATGTCAACTTGTTCCGTGGAGGAATGTTCGAGCGGGATGATTCGATCGTTTATTAAGGCTCGTTTCGCAAATATTGTTTCAAAGTTTTGAGGAGGGAGAGAGGTTAATCCTGCAGGACTGTCTAACGATCGAAGATCTTGAGATACAACGGTTTTCAGTGAAATAACAAGCCTGCGGGCAACCGTGACCCTAACGTTCATTCGCGTATTTCGTTCTTCCTCTTCCCCATATAATTGGAGTCCATGATTCTGTGCAAATATCACGTAACCAAGCAAACAATAGCTCTGCGAGGCATAGACTATACAAACAAAATAAGAATGTCTATCGGGGGTGGAGCGGAAACGGATGGTAAATTGGACAGCGGTGTATTTAGCGGAAATACGTATTCCTCGATATTTATTAACAACAAGAGGGGAGGAACGAAGGGAAGGGAACGAATTTTTTTTCCACTCCCTTTCCTATACTCATCTCATAAGTCGCGATTAAACCGGCCGACAGACATCGATATTTCAAAAATCCAGAGAGAGGAGAAGAAGGTTACAATACATCCGGCATTTAAGTATTTCCGCAAAGGTTCGGGAATCACAATATCCACGGCTTAAGCCCGTTTCTCGAACGCCACTTCTGTCGCTGGATCCTTTCTCCGCCGATCCTCCCACGCCTCCCAACCCTCGCTTCGATATAAATATCGATTACCTCCCGTTATCCGGATAATCCTTACAGATTGAAATTACCATTCGTACCCGTGGTGCCTGTAACACGAAGGTATGGGATGTGTAGCACGCACTACCTCGTCGTTTTTCATCCCTTCTCTCCTACGATTTCTACAATCTTGCCTTTGTATCCCTTCTCCTTTTTAAGCGGATTTTTAATTACGGATCTCCGAACAAACATTTGACATCCGTCTGCGAATCGATTTGATAGAAACGAATAATTTCGAGATGGTAATTAAACTCCTCGTTTATTTAAAACTACCAACGCTTTCAAGCATCGAATCAGTTAATCTTACAATTACAACGTTATCGATGGTCATGAAATAAATAAATAGATTATGTATGTGAAAACATCCACCGGAATCTTATTCATCGAAAAGTCAAAATAACATGATAATGATGATGATGTGATATGCTTCGAAAATTTCATTTCTATTATTCGTATCGTTCATCGCGCGTTCATTTTATCGACTCACAATACAATAAATGCAATAAATATTTGAGCGGATTCACGAGTCTACGTTGCTCTCTACTTTTCTATCTCAATGCGGTGTGCTTCGTGCTCTTTCTTTCCTCGCGCGAAAAGTTTCTCTCGGTGAGGAAGAAGAAGAAGAAGAAGAAGAAGAAATCTTACGTTATCAAACGTTCGAACGTGTTCCATCCAATTCGTGAAACGGTACTGATCGACCGTTGTGTTTATCTCGAAAGTGGAGAAAGATTGGAAGACGCGAAATATGGTCC